CTTTAGGTTGTCATGTACTCGATATAAGGATTAGATTAATCTTTTACTTAGTGATTCATATTAGTTTATATTATGATAGGTAATGGGCTTGGACTTTGTTTTTAATTAGTAGGTTAATATTGTTGGGGTTTTGTAAGGAAATTATATAAGTAGGTGTAATGTGGGAAAAAATGGGAAAAACAAGAAGTAATATCATTATTTTCTCCCTCAATCTCCCTCTTCTCTAACTCTCTCTCTAATATTCTCTCCTCCCCTTTCACGTGTTCTGTTCTTTCTCCCTCCCCATTTCTGCAACTCCCTCCTCTATTATCTACAAAAATACCGAAGAATCTTACAAAATTCAGAAGAAATCCAAGTTCATAGTACGAACTCATATTGTTACAAAAAATCTTTTATCCCGCTATCATACCTATGTTTATGGACGAACTTGGAGCACTAGGTGTCTTTGGCTTGTCCTTCATGTGAACTGACGGAAGATGAAGGGATCATTCGGAGACAAAAGATGTTTAATTGGAGTATTTTGGCTGGATATTTTGCAATTTGAGAAGTAGGTCGTATGAAACTGCACAATAGAAGGGGAGAAATGTCTGCTCTATTTATACGCACCCAAACTTTCAACCCCGTCCTTGACGCAGAGAGTTCACGGGCGCGGTCGCAGGGATGAAACTTGGTCCTCTGGTCTTGTATATGTTACATGGACTCGGTGCAGGTGTCAGATATGGATACATATTTACTTCATGATTGGATATAAAAAAAAAAATTTGTTTTGTTTGAATTTTTTTGTTTGGTTTGGTTAGTTTTGAAAAAGTTGGTATGGTTAGTTGTTAGTGGGTATAATAAAATAATATTTAAAATTAAATGATTAAAGTTGATTTGATGTAAAGTAGGAAAGAGAAGATTTGAAGTGATAGTTAAAATTATGTGAGTGGATGAATAGTGAATTAAGGTGGTGTGGTGTGTAAGAATATTGATTTGATATTATTTAATTATATTGATGATATTGATGATTGTGTGGTTGAGTTAAAGTTGAGTTAAAAAGCAGTTGAGTTAAAAATGTTGGGATATTTTTTAGATAATTTTGTATCCAATCATGCTCTTAAGGATCCGGTATTTATATTTCTAGAAGTTAAGATACGGGGTCACGTACCCAAACTTGGACACGGGTACGACAGTGTAATAAAATAAAATAAAAAATTATTTTACAACATTAATAGGAAAAAAGGTATATAGATCGTTGCGAATTTAGATTCATAATAATTCAATACAAATATATTACTAATGCAACATTGAAATAAAAAGTTAAAACAACAAGTTAACATTTTAACTTAATTTTCTACTACTAATCATTTCCATTATTATCCACATCCATGTTTCATCAAATGTAATTGCTTCTAGGTCGAGTAAATTGTAATTTTAGTCCTGTATGTTTCACTACCTTAACTTTTTCGTCTTCTTCGAATTGTGTTTTTTTATTTTCGTCCCGTATGTTTGCAAAATGATTACAAAATTCATGTTTTGTAAAAAAAAGATTTCAATTTCGTCCTTTATGTATGAAAATGACCTTTTTGTAACCTTTTTGCAAACATACGGGACAAAAATCAAAAACGCAATTCGAAGAGGATGAAAAAGGTAAGGTAGTGAAACATACAAGACTAAAATTACAATTTACTCTTTCTAGGTCCGGTTCAATGAAAGATAGATCAGCTAGTTTGTTCATATCTCCATCAATATCAAATTAGTCTCTACCTATTAAATAATTAAATATCAATAAGATTGAAAGCATATTATGGATTAAATAGTTTAGAAGACTCAACTAAAAGTAACTTACAAATGCCCCAAATGTCCTTCGTTATGAACTCTTCTTCCTTTGACAAGAGTGGCATGTTCGCATGGACATAAACCAGGTCCTCGCTCTTGAACTTGTTAGCTTGTTCCTCTTCACATTTTGGATCTCGGAGTAAGTACTCCAATTTCCTTGGCAACATGATGAAGATGCTGCCGCGAAAGTAATTTGAATGCCAAAGATTGAAACAATTTTGCACCTGATCCGTAGGTAGCCCACCAAGATATTGGTTCTTAGCATACCCTTGCATCTTTAATGAATCAATCACTAAATAAACTAGTTGCACTTGAAAATTCCTTATATTCCATATACAATTTCCTAAAATCGTTTATATCCTCAAAAATATATTGAAACACTTCATTCTATTCATAGAAACTTGTTGATGTTAATGTGGTGCCAACCTTTCGACACAATCTCCAATTTTTTAAGCAGGAATCAGTATAGCATTTCGGTACAAGGGAATGTGTCAGGCAATCCAACAGGGTATTACTTTTGTTCCCTTTCCTACAAACTTTAGT